CCTGAATAGTGAGGAGTTATTAGTATTACTAGAATTTAAAGACAATAGCCCTGGATCAGTGTTTTAGAAATTTGGTTTACTCAATTAATTGAAATTTAAAAGACCATAACAGACTTACTTTAGTTATTTCTTCTAAAGTTTTTATTTTCATCAAAGCTACCCATGTACTTTTTAGTTTGAATATTAATGACCTTTAGTTCTGATAATTTTTTTTTTATAAATGATTCATTCTGTTGTTTTTCTCTCCTGTTTTCTGTGTTTTGACTTTAAGAACCTTTGTTGGAACTGCTGAGTAGGTGCTCTACTTTTCTTATAATTTCCCTTCTATTTTCCATATCTTTGCCTTTTTTCTAATTCTCTGGGATATTTTGTCAGTTTTGTTTTCAATTCTTCTACTGAGTTTTAAGTTTCTGCTACCCTATGTTTCTAAATTTGAGAACTCTTCTGTACTTTTTTTTATTGCATTTTAAAAACATTCATTATCTTTTATTATTAATGATACTATTTTTGAAAGTATTTTCTCCCTGCATAGTCTAAATTGCCTTCAAGTTATATTTTTCTGTGATTTGTTTCTAATTTTTTGCTTTGGCCTCTTTAATAATAAAAGCTTTCCCCAGATGGCTGGATATCTTTGGTTATTTGCTCATATTTGAGAGTGGAGGTTTTCAAAAGCTGACGGGAAACTCTGAGTTCATGGTGTTGGGACTTATCGATTGTAGGCTTTGCAGTGGTGTGCTGGATCTGCTTGTATCAGCCTGTAAAATACAATTGTTGGCATCTCTTCTCATCTCTGAGTTAAGTGACCTCACATGGGAGTATTTACATCACAGAAGTTGATGAAGGCTACAAATCAGGGCTCATTCCCTCACCCCCACGTTTTTGCCTGTTGTAAACTACTTCCTAGTACACTAGCTTTACCATAGGATGGTCTGAATTCCCCCACCACGGTTCCACTGGGGAAACCTTCACTGTTGGTATATTTAGGTCCTCTTGGATTATTCATATTTTTATAGATAAGAATATTCCAAGATATTGTGTACAGTGTATAAGTCTGGCTATTGGGATTTCAGAAACCCGGTTAAAGATGTTTACGGGTTTCAGTATTCGGTATGTAAACATTCATTCAGTATTTCATTTCTAGTTGGCACCTCTACCCTCAGCTGTGCCTGTTATCCTCTAGTTCAAAGATGATATACTTTATCTAGGCCAGAGAATACATATCCCATACTGCTGGGGAGACCAAGGAGGAGTTACTCTGGTATTCTGAGAAGAGGAGGGAATCTAAGAACCTAATTGATTTAGATTTTCTACTAATGTTATAGAGTATTTCAATATTGTATTCCTTTTATTTCTGAGTAGTTAGTATTCCATTGTATGGATATCTTGCAATTTGTTTATCTGTTCACCTGCTAATGGACATTTGGCTTGTTTCAGTTTGGGGCTATTACATGTAATGCTATTATTAATATTCATGTACAAATCTTTGTAAGAACTTAAGCTTTCATTTCTCTTGACTAAATACCTAGAGTGGAATGGCTAAATTATACGGTAGTTGTATGTTTAACTTTTTCAGACATTGCCAAATTATTTCCCTAAATGGTTGTACTATTTTACATGCCCATTAGCAGTGTGTGAGTGTTCTGGTTGATATATATCCCTGTCATGATGGATTCATGAAGTCCTTTTAATGATGACAATTCTGATAGGCATATACCGTGTTTCCCCGAAAATAAGACAGGGTCTTATATTTATTTTTCCTCAGGAAGACACCCTAGGGCTTATTTTCAGGGGATGTGTTACTTTCCCCTCAAAGCCTCAGCTTGCAGCACGCACAGGATGGCCGGGACCTGATGGGGGAGCCGACCTTATTGGTGGGGCTGCCCGAACCTTTCTGGTCACCTCTGGGATAGTAGCTGTCAGGATGGGGCAGATGAGAAGGGCTTTTTGGCTTCTTTACCGCTCAGCGACAAAATGCATGGGTTGTGCAGATACGCTGCATAGCCACGCCCATCACTAGGTCTTATTTTCGGGGTAGGGATTATATTGTGCAAATGCTTAGAAATCCTGCTGGGGCTTATTTTATGGGTAGGTCTTATTTTCAGGGAAACATGGTAGTAATATCGCATTGTGACTTTTTAAAAAAATAAGTTTAACCATGTATATTTGAGGTATACAACATGATATGGACTACATATAGGTAGTAAAAAAGGTTACTATAGTGAAGCAAATGAACATATCCATTATCTCACATAGTTACCCATTATTTTTTTCATGTGTGTGTGGCAAGAGCAGCTAAAATCTACTCATTTGACTCCCATATACAGTACAATTTTATTACCTGTAGTCTTCATGTTGTACATTAGATCTCTAGACTTGTTCAACTTACATATCTGCTACTTTGTATCTTCCGGCATGTATCTTCCCATTTCTTTTCTCCTCCCCCCACCCTTGGTAACCACTCTTGTTATCTATCTCTGTATATTTGATTTTTTCCCCTAGATTCCACATGTAAGTTAGATCATACGATATTTTTCTTCTAGTGTCTGGCTTATTTCATGTAGCATAATACCCTCCAAGCTCATCATGTTGTGGTGAATGGCAAGATCTCATTCATTTTAGCACTGAATAATATTCCATTGTATATATGTACCACATTTCTTTATCTATTTGTCTATTGATGGACACTTAGGTTGTTTCCATATCCAGCCTATCGTGGATAATGCTGCAATGAACATAGGAGTACCGATATTTTTATTTAATATAAGGTAGTAATTTCATTTCCTTTGGGTATATGCCTTGAAGAGAGATTGCTGGTCATATGGTAATTCTATTTTTAATTTCTTTAGAGACTTTCATGCTGTTTTTCACAGTGGCTCTACCAATCTACATTCCCACCAACAGTGTTCACACAGTTCCCTTTTCTCTAAATCTTCGCCAACATTTATCTTTTGACTTTTTGATAATAGGTATCCTAATTGGTATGAAGTGGTATCTCATAATGGTTTTGATTTGCATTTCCCTGATGATTAATGATGTTGAGCATCTTTTCATATACCTATTAGTCATTTGTATGTCTTCTTTGGAGAAATAGCTATTCAGGTCCTTTGCCCATTTTTAATCAAGTTATTTGTTTTTTCACTATTGTATGAGTTCTTTATACATTTTAGATATGAACCACTTATCAGATGTATGGTTTACAAATATTTTTTTCCCAGTCTATAGGCTGCAGTTTCATTTTGATGGTTGTTTCCTTTGCTGTGCAGAGCTTTTTAGTTTGATGTAGTCTCATTCATTTATTTTTGCTTTTGTGTGTGATATCCAAAAAAGTCCACCTAGATATCCAATTTTCCCAGTACCATTTGTTGAAGAAACTGTCCTTTCCTCATTGTGTCCTCTTGGTGCCCTTGTCAAAAATTAATTATCTTTATATGTTTTGATTTACTTCTGGGGTCTCTCTTTTGTTCCATTGGTTCTATGTGTCTGTTTTTATGCCAGTACCATACTGTTTTGATTACTATAGTTTTGTAATATAATTTGAAATCAGGAAGTGTTATGCCTCCAACTTTGTTTTTCTTTCTCAGAATTGTTTTGGCTACTGGGGGTCTTTTATGATTCCATATGAATTTTAGGATTTTTTTCTATTTCTGTGAATTATGCCATTGGGATTTTGAAAGGGATTATGTTCAATCGGTATAATGTAAGTATGTCACATACTTAAAATTTAATATTAATGTCTCAAAACTAGCAGACTTTGTTTTCTCCCCATCCTGCATTGCCCTCCTTCCAGCACATTTGCTTTGTTTTTTCCATTTCACATGTTAGTTAATGTTGTCATTTTCCTTCTAGTTGTGTAAGTCTGAAGTATGAGTCATTATAGACAACTGCTTCCCATTTCCCACTTTCCTCCATTGATCTCTGCATCTTATTGATTCTTCTTTTAATTAACTCTCAAGTGCATTCTATTCATTTTCATTGTCCCACCTAAGTTTAAGTCTGTCAAAACCTCTTGTTTTGAATAGCTATTCATTCTCTGAGATGCCAGTGTGCCTGGTACCTCAATTATCTTACTACTTTGTAATTATTACTTTATGTGTCTGTCTTCCCTGTCATATTAATACTATGCTCTTGTAAGCAAGGACCTTGGGTTATGACTTTGTGCTGTCAGTGCCTAGCTTAATATGTGACATGCAATTGCTATATAATAAATGTTTTTGTGAATATATGAATTCATTTGTCATTAGATATTATCTTTGATAATTTTAATTTTTGATAATTTTAATATCATCATGAACATCAGATAAATTTTTCTTCTGCTTTTGGAAAAGTATCTTTCAATGCCTTATTTTCCAGAAGCTAAAAATAGCTTCTTTAATTGTGGTGATTAAGGATAAAATGGACTCTTTTATATAGTTACATGTTATCAGAATATATTATATAGTAAAACCAATGATAACTGCAAAATTGTTAGGATGTTCTAATGGTTTACAACAGTCCAAATCTTCTATTTTATTTCAAGTATGAAATATTGATTACATTTTCTTGGTAGCAATAGAACAAGAAGAGTTTATATTTTTCCCATAATGCAAAAATATAACTTATATAAATCACTGCCATCTCTGAATGAGTGTGTTGAAAGAGATGAAGCATCACAAATCTTTATTCTTTGGTATAGAATATAGTAGTTAAATGTTAATTGCTTCAAATATTTAAGTAATGATAGGGAATAATAGGGAATTTTTGGATCTAAATTTTAATGCATGACAGTGGACACACATTTGCTAATAATTTCTGAATATAGTTACATTGCCTATTCATTTCCCTGCACCAAATAAATGAAGTTGATGCCGTGAGAGGAACACATGAAAGATGGCAATCATTTTCTGCATGACTAAAATTTTCATATGCAACATGCCGCCAGCTGTGGGACCATCGGGCTTCTATTGTTTTTCAAAGCAAGATTCTGCTTAAGTGTTAACTCTGTGCTTGTGCTTTATTTGCAGCATCTGGCGAGGCCCCAATGTGAACTGCACAGACAGTTCGGGTTACACTGCTTTACACCATGCAGCCTTAAATGGACATAAGTAAGTGTCGCTTATTTGGACTGGAATCTTGTGTATTTGGTTACATGTGATGAAGTTAATTATGTCTGACGATACCTTTCTCATGTCGCCATGAGTCCATTTGGAGGGGCAGCAGGAAGCAACATTGGCAAGTTAAACTGGGCAGTAAGGTTGCTGAGGATGACTGTGTAAACTGAGAGGAAGGCTCTGACATACGCAAATGTCACACAGGGAGAATGGAGGAAATGACAGGACCCTGTGAGTCATGGATAGCTTTGGGGACAGAATGGGATAACACCATTTGATAACATCTTTCCATGTTTTTTGGTGTCTACCTGTATTCATTCACCCATTGTGGGAGTATTCACTAGGAGTGAAATCTTAACAGATTCCTGCTTTTATAAGCCATGGTCACTTATGTGAACCACTTTCAAATCTTCCAGATTTAGTTAAAATGCTTCCTCTTTGTCATTCATGATGGTCTTTCTGGTTTTAAACTTATCAACCCAGAACTTTTTTTTAACTTATAGAATTGTGTTTCAAATAAATGTGATCATATACATTATGGAGAGTGAAAGAATATGTGACCATAACCACTACTTTATTTCCAGTATTTTAGCTAGGTGTCTTAATGTTTTAGTGACTGTCAAAATATGGTGAGTCCTTTGAATGATTCAGAGAGATGTGTCTTCTACTACTAGAAGAAAAATGATCCTCTTCCTGTATCTGCCCCTCCCTTTCCTTTGTGCATGATTCAAGTGAGTCTACCCAGATCTGTATCGTTTCATTTACTTTAGTTTTTTTAGATGTGGTAATTACTGCGTTAAAACACTAGTTACCTTTTGCGTTCTCACCTAACATTTCTTTCATCCTATGCACTGAGATGCAAAAGCTTTGCTTATACTTGATTATAAGCTTGGTGGCCATAAAGCTCTCAATGTAAGATATTATTTTTTGTCATTATTTATCACTATCACATTTTTTCTTTTAAAACTTATTGTGTAAATCTAACTATCCATTGGTTTGGAGAATCATTCGAATTACATAAAATATTTTAAACTTAATGTTTCATTGTTTAGATTCTTAGTATTGGAATTCCCAAATTACATTTGTTTTCATCTAATGCCTATTCTCTATTATGCCATATTATACCATCTAACTTAGAATTTTTATATTTTGCTAGATTTTTTTTTTTAGTTATCCTCCTATAGAGTGGAAAACATGTCTAGAATCTAAATCTTTTAAAGGTGATTATTATTAATATTATTTGTTTTTCTTTGTGGGGTCATCAAGAACAAAGATAAATTAAATCAGCTCAAAGTATAGAATACTGATGGCTTCTTTATCTTAATTGTGGCTTCAGGGTATAATCATATTTCTAAGTTCCAACTGGGAAGATAAACTCTGTCAAATCTAATGGGCAGACTATCATGGGCTTGACCATTTGAGCTCTACTACTTTCCTTGTTCCTACTCAGATTGGCATTGTAAGTCCTTCTCAAAATAATATTGTCCCCAAATGCATTAGCATTCATATCCTTCCTTGATTTTTTTAGTAAAGTACTTTTAAACATTATTGATTTTTATGTGACAGACTATGAAGTTCTAACCATTGAGATATGTTTTCCTGTGGTCCATTGTCTAATTTTTGGTTCTTATTGGCAATTTAGAAAGTGACTATAACTTAAGCAAATTGAATAGTAATCAAGATTAAGATTATCATAAAGAGATGGGGGATTTGACCAGGTATCTTTTAAGGTACCTTTTATTGTAGATATCCTATGATAATTATGTATCTCTGCTTTTGTCCAAAGGTCCTAGTTATCTTTTTTTTTCAACACTTTTTGGTAAGATTTTACTCAGTGTCATCCTGTAGGCATTGGAAAAAGCAGAAAAATTCTAGTCCTATCTTCCCATCTTTGCTGGTTGTGTGACCTTGAGCCACTTATTTAATGTCTCTAAGCCACAGTTCAATAGATTGAATACATTGGCTGGATATTCTTCATTGTTCCTTATAATTATAACATTTTATGATCTACTGTGTTGGTATTATTTTTGGCTCTGTTACATACTATGATGCTACAATTCTGAAAATTGGCTTATCATGTAAGGTATGTATTTCCTGATTTTGAACGTTTAAATTATCTATGGACTTTACATTTAGAGATCATTTTACCCGATCCGCCTCACCTCCCTCCTTTTATAGATATAGAAACAAGGCCCATCTAGATAAGTGACTTAGTGGCCACTTAGATATTAAAGTACGGTTGTGTCTAGAGCCTAAGTTGTCTAGTTCCAGGTCTGTGCTTTCACTCTGCATTATCTCCCCTTTGCGGTTAAACTCTTTCTGGCTTTTCTTTCTCACACTATGTATTTCTGGGTTGCCTCCCATTATCATCACATAGTATGTTAACATGGAATGCTAATTTTAATATTGGCTTAAAAGATATTTGAAGGACAAAAAGAATATCATAGAATATATCTAGGATCCAGAGAAGAATGGTATTTCTTTGCTTTTGCTATTCTTATTTAGCATAGGTAATTAGCAATGATTATATGGTTTTCTTTCCAAGGAAGCCTTAGCAGTCAGCATAGAAGCACATCATTTCCATGTTTGTTGCTGTTGTTGTTATATCCATCTGCTCTAGATTATTTCCATAAACATTATGCTTTCTAGACTAAAGTTCATGGAATCATAGAATTAGAATTAATGTTACAGGCCCCGTGGTTTATTCTTTTGCTTCAAGCACAAGTTTTTTCTTTACCCCCAACATATAATCTGAGGCCTTCGTATTGCAGATTAAACCTGTTTCCTTTTGTATGTCATGTTGGAAACCCTTGTTTATCAATGCTAATTAATCCATAAATTGAGCACCATTTTGTACCTGAAATGCATTATTTCATATTGAACAATTAATCTTCAGTTAGTCAGATCAGCACTACGTACTCTATTGGTAATTTCCTGGGTCATTTGTAGTTACTGATTAGAAGATTATTACTTTCAAACGATAGAAAAACATGATTAGTAGAACAAAATCTACTCGCAACTATTATTTCAATAGATAGGGTTGAGACTTATCTATTTCTATTCTCTCTTTTTCATTTTAAAATACAGAGGATTCATTGTCTCACGTATATCTACTACAAGTTTGAGTCGCTTAATTCTCTTCTGAATAGCAATTGGCTGGCTGGCCTCCCTCCCTCCCTCCCACCTTTTCTCATTCCTCCTCCTTTCCTTTTTCCTTTCTCCCCCTACTTCTTCTTTACTTCCTTTTCCCCCCTCCTTCCCTTCCTTCCTCTTTCCTTCATTGCTCTTCCTTCTTCTTGACTTTCCTTCTCTCTTCTTTTCATCCTTTCTTTTTCAATAATAATCTTATCTTTCCTTATAAGGTTACACTAAACCTGTATTTTCATACTTCATTTCAGTTCTACTTCTCTACTTAACAAATTGCTCCTTTTTTTTTCTTGTTAAGTCCAGTCTTATTAAACTATTTTGAGTATATAGTGATGCTTGAATGCTGTTTTGAAAAATGTCAGCAAATTGTTATCATAGCTTTGAAACATGTATATTCTTTGTTATGTGTGGGGTTACAATGTTTTCTATTCTTGCTTCTAACTTTTAAAGTATTTAATGCTCACTAGACCTCATTTTTGTAATCCAAATTATATGTCAAATTAGATCTATCATCCAGATAGTAAGCTATCTATAGTTTTGATTTGTTCTTTCTTAGGTATTCTAATGAAAGAGGGGTACCTACTCTAGAAATTCTATAATCTGGTCCCTGAAGTAGCTCTTTGAATAACTATAAACATCTTTGGTCTGATGATTTCTTCTCTGGATAAGGATATTAACTGGTTACAATTTGCTTTCATTCATCCTGTAATCTAGAAGTCTATGAGAGTGAATTCAATGTATAAAGAAACTTCGGTTAGCAAATAGAATGTATTGTCCTGTAGTCTTTTGGCCATGTTGAACACATCTGCAACTTTATTCGCATTAAAGAAAAGTAAAAGCTTCCAGAAAATCTGAAATCAAAAAGGCCTGATTGAATTTGAGAGTTTCATTAGTTTGTTAATTCTGCATCCATATGAAGATGATTTGCATTTATTTTGAAGTTCTTTGAACTCTATAAACAAGCTAGAGAGGATGGAACAAAATAAACATCTTTGGTTGTGACTTAATTACAGAGAATCTTGCTGTTGAGGCAAAGAAATTTGAATGTTGATTCTTCCCAATTAATTTAATTTTACTCAGAACTTTTTGAAAGACATTTCATATTAACTAGAAGTATATTTATATCTATCAAAAATGAATGCAGGCTGGGCACAATGGCTCATGCCTGTAATCCCAGCACTTTGGGAAGCCAAGGCAGGAGGGTTATTTGAGTCCAGAGTTGGAGACCAGCTTGGGCAACATAGACCCCATCTCTGCAAAAAATAAAAAAATTAGCCAGGTGGCATGGTGGTACATGCCTGTAGTCCCAGCTACTCAGGAGGCTGAGGCAGGAGGATCATTTGAGCCTAGGAATTAGAGGCTTTAGTGAGCTGTCATCATGCCACTGCACTCCAGCCTGGACAACAGAGCAAGACCCTGTCTCTCTTTTTCTCTAAAAAAAAAAAGCAAATTAAATAATATAGTACAAAAAATCAATACTTTAGAATTTCTATTTTTACCTGAACTTGCATATATTAGCTTCAAGCTACAATGTTATGATTATTTAAATTGGATTATTATTAAATTTAACTTGATATTTTGTTTTGTTCCTAGGAAATGAAATTATTTTTTTCTGTGATCCCATTAACTCACTTACTCTAGGGTTTTAGAGTATTTATTTTTTCAAATGCTGGGTATTGAGAAAGATTGCTACTTTATGTTTAAGATATAGGGATTATTTTGCTGCTTGCTATTCTACAGACATTGATCAGCAGTGTAACTTAGTATTTCATTCCAGGTAACCAAGCAGAGTCAAAATGGTCACTTGTTGATACCTCTGAATACGATATATGGCTAAATTTAAATAAAAATAAAAAATAATAATAAAATGCAGAAGCTTTTTAGCTTGATATAATTTCATTTGTCTATATTTGCTTTTATTACCTATGTCTTTTAGGTCTTACACAAAAAGTCTTTGCCCAGACCAAGGTCCTGAAGTGTTTCCCCAATGTTTTCTTCTAGTAGTTTCATAGCTTCAGGTCTTAGGTATAAGTCTTTAATTCATTTTGATTTGCTTTTTATATTTGGTGAGAGATAGAGGTCTAGCTTCATTCTTCTAAATATGATTATCTAGTTTTACCAACATTAACAAAGTGAAGAGACAACCTACAGGATGAAAGAAAATATTTGAAAACTATCCACCCAACAAGGGATAAGAAACCAAAATGTATAAGGAACTCAAAGAACTCAATAGCAAAAACCCAGATAATCTGATTAAAAAATAAGCAAAAAAGAAATCTGAATAGACATTTCTCAAAAGAAACCTTAGAAATGGCCAAAAAAGTAGATGAAAAATGCTCAAGATCACTAATCACCAGGGAAATGCAAATCAAAACCACAATGAGATATCATCTTACCTCAATTAAAATGGCTTTTATGAAAAAGACAAAAATAATGTATGCTGGATAGGATGCAGAGAAAGGGAAATGCAAGTATGCTACCGATGGGAATGCAAATTAGTCCAGCCACTATGAAAGACAGCATGGAAATTTCTCAAAAATCTAAAAATAGAATTACCATATGGTTCAGCAATCCCACTGCTGTGTATATATACCAAAAAGAAAGGAAACCAGTATATCTAAGAGATATCTGCACACCCATGTTGATTGTAGCACTATTTTTAATAGCCGAGATATGGAATCAACCTAAGTATCTGTCAATGAATGGATAAAGAAAATATGGTACATTTACACAACGGAATAGTATTCAGCCATAAAAAGAATGAAATCCTGTCATTGGCAGCCACTTAGATGGAACTGGAGGTCATTATGGAGGTCATTATGGCACAGAAACACAAATATTGCATGTTCTCACTCATACATGGGAGCTAAAAAAATGAATCTCATGAAGGCAGAGAGTTGATTGGTAGTTACCAGAGGCTGGGTAGGAAAGAGGGCGGGGGAGATGAAGAGAGGTTGGTTAATGGGTACAAACACGCAGTTAGATAGAAGGAATGAGATCTAGTGTTTGAAATACAATAGGGTGACTGTAGTTGACAGTATAGTATAGTTCAAAATAGGCTAGAAGAAAGGAATTGGAATGTTCCCAACGTAAGGGAAAAGTAAATGTTTGAGGTGATGGATAGTTCAATTATTCTGATTTGGTCATTGTGCATTGTATGCATGTATCAAAATATCACATGTACCCCCAAATATGTACAACTATTATAGAACAATAAAAATAATAATAATGATACTGAGTTGATGTTATTCTAGTGTTAACTACTCTTCTAATGTAGATATTATAGAAAGTACCCGAAATTTAATTTGTTCTTAATGAACCTGGATTAAAACAGCCTATTTAACTCATATTACTTATGATATATTGTAAGATATTACTTGTGATATATCATGGATATATCGTAAGAAATTTTAATGATAATTTGTTGATTAATACTTTATTCTACATATGATTCAGTAAAACCGACAGGCACTTATTTGATCAGAGATGTAACTTTATATTTCACAAATATGTTTTAACGCTAGAAATCCGAGCTCAGCCAGTTCATTAGCTGATATCTCTGACTAAGTTTTAAAGCTCAATTTAAATAAAAATTTAAAAACAAACTTAAATTTAAAAATAATCAAATTTAATAAACTACTCAAATATATTTTACAAACTTAGATAAAAAGTTTAGTTATGACTTATAAATTGTTACTAGGATCTAAAGGCAGTTTCACAAACATACAGATTATACTTTTCTGATTTAGATATTAAATGGTGGTAATACTACATAATACAAAAATGATTAGTAAGTCTGTTTCTAACATGGGCATTTTTTTCACTGTATCATAAATCTTCCCGATAAAGAAAGAAGACTGAATGTGTATCACATACGTTATTAGAAAATGTCAACAAAATTTGAGCCAAAGAACAAATGAAATTCTGAAAGATTTGAGAGAGTAAAAGGAAATAAAGTTGATGACCCCATCCATCTTTCTTTCCTCTTTACACTTTGAAAGGAAATGCTTTATAAGAAGAGGTTTCAGAATATTTCTTTATTCGCTTAGGCACAGGGGAATGAGATTTCTCTCTGTCTTCACAATTGTCTTTGACATTAATTTGGAGAAATCTATTTTGTAGTAGGATAAATTCTACTGTTTAGATCCAGATATTTAGTTTGAGCAGCCTGTATTATTTTGTCTTTTAAGTGCCTGGACTATTTTAGTTAAAAAAAAAAAATCACTGGGATTATTTAACATTGCAACAGCCTTCCTCGAGAATCACTTTTGATCATATATCATTTTATAATCACGTCTGTTTATCGTTGGATTCACACCATAACCTTTGAGACTGGCAGCAAGATATAATCTCTAAATTCTATTTTAACAATATTTGTAAGAGTGACAGAGCTTATTTGATTTGTTCAAGGTAACCAAGTTAGTAAGTAGTAGAGAGCTGGGACTTCAGACCGTATCTTCTGGTTCTTAGCTGCTTTTGCCATTCATAGGTATTAAATCCTCATTACCTTATAGAAATTATTTATTGATGTCAGAATGGAAGACAACTCTTTTTTTTTAATTAAACAGATGTGGTTGGAAATATCACAACTCTTGCATGGCAGGGAGATGGGGAAAAGCCTGTGAACTGGATAACTAAGTTTTCTTCTGATTCTCAGATTCTCTTTTTCAAAGGTGATTTGCTATAAGCATTTTCACTTTTAAAGTGTTTTATTTTTACTTGAGACCAGTACTAAGATTGGCATAGTGCTTTACTATTTATTGAATGACTTATTTTCTATAATCTCATTTAATGCTCTTGCCAGTCTTGAGTAGTAGGCATTGTTATTACAGCATCTTGTGAGTTAAAGAAAAAGAAAATGAGACTAAATACAATCATGTGTTACTTAATGATGGGGACACATTCTGAGGAATGTGTTGTTAGGCAATTTTGTCATTGTGTGAACATTATAGAGTACACTTATACAAGCCTACATGGCATAGCCTACTACACACTTAGGCTATACAGTATAGTCTATTGCTCCTGGACTGCAAACCTGTACAGCATGTTGCTGTACCAAGTACTGCAGGCAGTTGTAACATAATGGGAAATATTTGTGTATCTAGAGTTATCTAAACATAGACAAGGTACAGTAAAAATATGATAATATAATCTTTTGGGACCACCGTGGTATACGTGTGTAGTTCATTGTTGACCGAAATGTCATGTGGCAAGTGACTGTAATTTCTCCTGGGTCACAGCATCAGATCCTGTAAAATAATACAGGTATTTAAAAAGAAATTTTAAAATAAGATTTATTTCTTTATTTCTCAGAAATGTTATTAGAAAATTTAGGACTCCTTGGAACTTTGTAAATATTTGTACAACATATTCTTGGTTCTTTCATCATGATTTCATACATTTAGCAACTAAGTGCAATGTTGTGATTTCTACCAGTTACTCTGATTTTATGTTGTATCATGTCTGTTTTTCTTGTGAGCTATCAGAGTTGTAATCTTGCTGCTATTCAAACTTCTTCCAACTTTTCTCATTTGTTACTTGCATTTAGAGTCTGATTTTATGAAATATTTTAATTTAGATCATTCTGTTACATTCACCCGCCTCATTGGTGATTTGTTGTATATAAGAAACAACTTTTTTATATATTGTAATTGTAAATATGTGTATATATTTCTGTGTCTGTCAAGCATTTAGTGAGTGAATAGAATTTGCTTCTTAAATGCATTCAAATGAAAATATATTTTTTGTCTAGAATTATTATTTTTCATTGTTTTATAAAAAGTTCAATATAATGTATACTAATAATTAATTAATTCCTTCTGAGGTGAGTATTACAGTTAAGGATTTTTTTACTTTGAAAACCAGGTAGGGATTGGGTAAAAAATCCTGTGGGTAGGATATATTGAGTATGTGTGAAATTACATAAGTGGTGGAACTTGTCTCTTAAATGAATTTCCTTCTTGAAATCATTGCTTATTCTTGGAGGGAAAAAGTGAAGGAATACACAAATATGAACAAGGCACATTCAAAGTATGTTGTGTCTCATGGCTAAAAAGTTATTAATTTTTTTTTTACGCTGACCTAGTATAATAGCTAGCTTTTCTGGGTCTCTTAGATACCATCCTTCTCTTTTATATATATCTTCAATTTCTTATTCCTATTCTCTATAGAAATGATGTATAAATTCTGTGAACATCTCTTTGGTATTATGATAACTTTTTTTTGTAAACACGGAGTTTGCTTTTAACTTCAACTTTTCTTTCAAGCTAAATCTCAGATGTGGGCTATTTGGAAAGACCTCTTTTTTTAAGAATGAGAGGAGGAATGCTTTTTATTTATTTTACTTAATTTAGTTAATGAGATAAGATAAATTTAGCATAAATGAATTCTATTAAGTAGTTTCATTGATTAGTTAATGCTTTGTGTGTGGTGGTGGTGCTGGGGGTTGTTTTTCAGGTAAGTAAAATAGCCAAATATCGAGTAGGCAAACTGTTAAACCCAATTTTATGTTTTAGTATCTTGAATGATTACTCTAAATTACTATTAGCCAGATCTAATATTCTTGATAATTATCTATTTAATAAAATTTGTGTTCAGCATATTTTCTTTTCTGTTGTGTTCTTTTTCTTTTTCTTTTCTTCTTAGGGACATAGTTCTCAAACTACTTCAATATGAGGCATCAACAAATGTAGCAGACAACAAAGGTTATTTTCCTATTCATCTGGCTGCCTGGAAAGGAGATGTGGAAATTGTGAAGATTCTTATTCATCACGGACCATCACATTCCAGAGTCAATGAACAGGTGCACTTATCAAATGTTTGCTCATGCTGTAATTTTTTCAGAGTTTTGCAAAGGCAAAGCCATATTGAAAAATTGATTATTTTTAGCTTTACCCTGCCAAAGACCTTTCCACAGCTGAATTTCCTCAAGGAGAGATTTGAAAAATTCTTTGGCATTTGGATATGATATACAAACATTAAGTTGGGCATTTGTAAAGATATTTTGTTATTGAGAAAATTCCACATAAAGGAAGTAGTTGTAATATTTTTGCCTGTCTTATATAATCATCCATTTTATGGCTGTTGAATATTTAAAGATAGAACAGAATTCACATTTGTAATGAGCAGTGGAGTGTTTCTTAATATAATTTTAAATGCTAAAACAATGATCATAGTTATCATTTACATAATGCTTTAGCATTTACAGAGCACTTTCACAGTTAAGTACACTATTGTGAATCAAAATGCAAAATACAGTGTATCCCGTTGCTAGTCATAATTAAGTTGAAAATTTTCTGTTTATCTATACACCTCCCCCAAGTAAGTTGAGTAAACATAGCAGCACCATGATACTGACAGATACAGTCAAGTATTTGTGAGTACATAATAGCTATATTGCACATAACAGACATATTTAAAAAGAAATGCCATTCTCAGTATTTTAAACAGATAAGACCACAGATTCTAGAAAGTAAAATATGGTCCCCTAATACAGTATGATAACAAACATCTTGAGCTCTGCATGCCCCCTACTGTTCTCATTTTGTAAAACTATATTTGAAAACCAGCATGCAGTCCAGCAATTGAATTACAACCATGACATTAAGCTTCAGGTTGGCAGCTGTCCAATATCAATGCAAGTAGGTTATTCTAGGGCAAACACATCTAATCAAGTACAATTAGCATATTGTTCAAATGGATACAGACTTTGCAGGCTTTTGATTGAAATTCAGACAAAAAACGAAAAGTAACAATACTTTAGCCAGCAAAAAGAAGAAAAATACTTTTTTTTTCCCAACAAAGTGAAATTATTGAAAGGACTAATCAGGAAAATCATTATATTAATTGGAAAAGTATCTCATTAATATCTAGCACAATAAAAATTTCTATGTTTGCAGGTTACAAAAATGCAGAACTTTTAAAAAAGAGAATACACTCTATTTTTAAAAAGTGACAGATATGGCTATCTTTATCATCATATCATGCTAAAAGGAAATTTATGAGAATACTCTTCTGTTCCTTAGAAAACCAAAAGTTAGATCATTTATGGAATAGGCCATCTGGTGGTTATTCTTAAAACTGTCTGAATGCTGCAAAGCGAGCCCGAAGTGATAAAATGGAAAAACAAGCCAAGGGTAAACAAGAGGATGTTAGTTTTTACAAATAAGATGTTTTAAATGGCATGAAAATAAGAAAAAACCATATAGTATTTATATTTAAAAGTTAAAAATTTTAAGTGACTTATAACTATAATGGTATGTTTTAAAGAGAAATACTTGTTTTTGGTAGTAGTGAACACGTCAATTAGATTATAAAAAATGTCTTTTTAAGGAGACTGGAGTTCAAAGTTCTTTGTTTACTTCTGTTGCTTTGTGTTGTGGTTTTTAATGGCAGCTAGTTAAAAGTATCTTAACATAGTTCTCCCATTCCATGCCATTTGTCTTGAAACTTTCTGATGTGGGAATTTTATTTTTATAAGTAACTTTTAGTTTTTGCTTGCCTTCCTGCCTTCCTTCCTGCTTGCCTGCCTGTCTTCCTTCCTTTTTCTTTCTTTCTTTCTTTTCCTTCTGAATGGGACAGAAATATTCTAGCTAAATATACACCTTTACGTATTTAAGTAATAGAGGGAAGAAACAAAAAGGATAACTTTTATTGAGGCATATGATAAGCCAGGCACTGTTCTAAGTACTTTCATGTATAAAGTGTTATTTAATTAATTATTAACAATAATCTTCTGAAGTGATATCATCACTCCTATTTTATAGATGAGAAATTAGGCTCAGTAAAGCTAAATAACTTGTCTAAGGCTACATGTTACTGAGTGACTAAAACAGAAACAGTCTTGCACTCGGGTCTCTCTAACTCCAGAGCCCTGTACAATAGCACATTGGTATTGTTATCCTAAATCCTACCACTTAACGGGTTGTTTCCTATATGCCAGGCATTGTGCAGAGTACTTCATCTTTGTTATCTTGCTAAGCCCTATAGCAGCCTAATGAGGTAGATATTAATTATCATTCCTACTTTATTTTTTTTTTTTTATTTTTAGTTATTTCAGGCCAGTGACAAAAGTGTATATTCCTACTTTATATATGGGGAAACAGCCTAAGAGAGATTCAGTAACTTGACCATAATGTCACAGTATGTATGGTGATAAAATGATACATCATAGTCAAGGCTTCATTGTGATTTCTGAAAGTATCTTTGGTTCCTAATGAAGCTTTCCTTAAAAATAATCCTATTTTACATTTTAATGTTTAAAGTTTATAAAGCATTTTCATATGTTACCTCTTTTGGTTTATAAACTACACTGTAAGATTTATAGGGAAGGTAGATATTCTTGTTGTACAGATAAGTTTGGAGAGATCATGTGACATACTGTTGCTAATAAGTGGTGCGTTTTAGCGCTTTACCTTAGGAACTGTCCACCATTCTATACTGCTCTAGAATTAGTGATCAATTTAGAGTGACATAATTTTGAAAAACAAAGTGTACCCTGATTATGGTTTTTATAATGGCTACATCCTATCTTTTGTCAACTGATTTATTATTTCCTTTATTCTGATGTTATGTATGTTTCAAATTTCTATTTCTCTGTACATTCATTTATCTCCCTTTTCACCTACTCTCCTCTTTTTTTCCCCTTTGTTTTAACATCAGAGTAAAAGCCAGAGGAGCCTTATCTCAAATATACATTACCTTTGCTCTTCATCAAAACTCGAACCCAATTCTTTCTTGTCAGATGTTTTACCTTGAAGCAAGATCTTTGGTCAGTAGCTTTTGTCAGCCCATTTCGTTTTGCCATCCATTGTCTGGAAGTGTCTTGATTTTTCAGAGAACACTCATTTGGTGAAAAGAAGAAATTTAAAACCTTTTAAGAATATTCTGTGTAGACATTCTAGCAAATATTAATTACAGAGTATTTATTTCAAATTAGATGTTTCATGTTTTTTTAGGCCACTAGCGAGTGTGGGCACAAGTATATAATCATTACCTTTGTAAAGGTACCACCAGTTGTGGTCTCCACTGATGGGATAGTCCAAGTATGTGCTGATTATGGATAAAATCTGTGAATATCCCGAGTAGGTCTTGAATGATTGAAACAATTTCTCTTGAGATCTCAACAGTGATAATTGGTATTATTAGAAAAAATTTTCAATTTTATTCTTATAATTTCCTAGGCTAAGGGCTCTGGAAAAGTGGAGAGGCCTTTGAGAATCATTATTTCATAATTGTTCTTTCTCTTTTCTCAAAGAGGTGCTGTATTCTGAAAAATGAGATTGAATCTCTTTCGGACCAAGGGGAAATTTGGGTTGGTCAGGAGGCATATTTCTATGTTATATTTTCATGACATGAAGTAATAAGGTTGGTTTTCTTATCAGGCTTATGAAACATAGCCAGATAAGAAAATCAAGTAGTCTAAACCTGTATGTAGTCAGTCTTTATGAAGAAGTAGATTATGGTAACACATTGAAACCAAGCACAAGTCATGATTGAAGTATACTGATGATTGAAGAAATATCTGCAGCTGGGTTCCCATCTATCGGATCTTAACTTTTCATTGACTGTCTCCAAGGAATAGGTTTTTCCTCTGGCTTTGACCCTCCAATACCCTTTCTTGATACTTATTTGAAATATGAAGTAGTGAGAAGCTTCTACTAGTGGTTTTTTCCCCTTGTCACTCTTCTTAAGGTTTTGAATCTTCCTTCTAGATTCTCAACTTATCTGCATTCTTCTATCATCCAGAGCAAGCCTGAGTTACTTTCTGGACCATTATGATTTGTTAGGCTTTCAACTCTCCTTGTCCTTTAGTTGTGGTTAGAACAGCTATCTAACCAGCTACTTCCTATTCTAACTCGGTGTTTTTCTGAGCAGAATCTCTAGAAATTACACTTTCAGATGACTAATTTTCAGCTCTTTTTCATTGACAGTATGGCAACACATGGAAGGCAGCATGGTATAGTGGAAAGAGTATGGGTTTGGGATTTTGACAGATGTAGGTTATGAAAGATCCTGATTCTGCCTGGATATGTAATTTAACCTTTCTGTATTTTAGTTGCCTTGTCCATGAAGTGGAGCTAATAATTTCAATCTTGTAGGATTGTTGTAATAGTTAACAATTTTAATTTAATTTAATTTATTGTATGAGACAATAAATACAAAGTTTTTATTTTGCAACAATTTGAATGGAACTGGAGACTATTATCCTAAGTGAAGTATCTCAGGAATGGAAAAACAAATAGCACATGTACTCGCTATTAAATTGGAACTAACCAGTGACCACACATGTGCACAGAGGGAAGTAAAACTCAGTGGAAATCAAGCAGGGGGAATATTGGGGAAGGGATAGGCGAAAACCTACCTACAGTGAACACTATTTGGGTGAGGGGCACACTTATAGCCCTGGCTCAAGCATTACAAAAGTGATCTATGTAACCACAAACATTTGTACTCAAAATAAAAAAAAATATTTTGAAATGAAAAAAAAAAAAAAATAAAGATCACCAGAAATGGTAACTACATGGACAAAAAAAAGTTTTACACTCAGGAAATGATAGCAGTAATAGTTGTTATTGTGGAAGGTGGTATGTGTAGTGGTTAAAAGCTCCGACTTTGGGTCTAGGCTGCTTGGGTTCAAATCCTGGCTCCACCAGTAAATGGCTATATAATCAAAGGCTAGTTATTCAACTACTCAGCGCCTCAGTTTCCTCATCTGTAGAATGAGGATAATGATATTAATAGTATCTATCTCCTAATGAGAATTACATGAGTAAACATGAAATGCAGCTGTGTCTGGTATATAACATTAGCTGTGATGACTGATGGTGGCAGCCACTCTTTCTCTCCAGAACCCTCATTTAGGATCATTGCATTTTTGTTGCTAAAATTTCTGATTCACATTTCTCATGACTGACGCTTTTGCCTCCTGACATAGCCATACCCTGTCTATTTATACTATCTGCCCAAATGGTCTGAAGGGTCCATCTGCCTTGCAAATGGTTTCAGTTTTCTCTATCTTAACATTTTTTTATCTTGCTAAATTTCTAGGAAAATCTCATTGATTTTCAACTGAAACACTTAAAAGCTGCACATGTAGTACTGTGATGGTAGTTCTGCCTCTTCATCCATAATTATGTTTCAAAAAGATAGTATTTTATCTTGGGGCCAGGATGTCTTCCTTCTCTTTGCAAAAGAAGCAATGATTTTTACTTATATGGAAAATAAAATGAAACTTAATCTGGGAAACCTTTCTATAAATCTTCTATCATCAAGCATTTACCATCTCAACTGTGTTTTGGAAAGCCAGTCTATTAAAAGTATGCTGTAATTGTTATTAATCTCTGTCATTAGCAAATGTCATGGGGATGTGATGCACAGTGCAGATAACACCGGCCATCTGGGCCCAGCAGGGCCACTGACAAAAGGGCTAAACTCATTTATCATTCTTGGAAGTTGGAATATATGATGCATGGAAAAGTTTGATTTTTTTTTCCTATTAAAGTGATAAAAATAAATGATGATACTCCTGATATAATGAATGATAGATACTTTTTTTTATTAAATATAAAATTCAGTTAGGCATACTTATTAAAAGATAAATCTTAAACTCATATATTCAAAGCATCTCAAGTTTTAAATTACTGTGATTAGATTTTGTTAACTAATTTAAGTCTCTGAAACCATGCCTTTTTAAAAAAAATCTTTGTCTTAGAACAATGAAAATGAAACTGCCCTACACTGCGCAGCTCAATATGGACACTCCGAAGTAGTTGCTGTTCTTCTAGAAGAGCTCACTGACCCTACGATTAGGAACAGTAAGCTTGAGACACCTTTGGACCTGGCGGCACTCTACGGACGGCTTCGAGTGGTCAAAATGATCATCAGCGCACACCCGAACTTAATGAGCTGCAACACTCGAAAGCACACGCCACTTCACCTTGCTGCTCGCAATGGCCACAAGGCAGTCGTACAGGTGCTATTGGAGGCAGGAATGGATGTGAGCTGTCAAGTGAGTCTTCTTTTGGCTATGTTTTAAAAGTGATGATGCTCTTGCTTTGCTTTGAGATACAGATGTTAAAACTTATATGTATCACTCTTTTAATCAAATTGTCCACAGGTATTTTTGTAACTACTACATTCAGGGTACTCTAAAACACAGGGTTTTGGAAGACGTGAAGAGCTATAAGGCATAATCTCTAACCTCATTCTAATTTGAGGGCTATCTACATGAAAATTTCCTAGTACATGGCAGTTTTGTGTGGCCTCCATGGTAATGTTTCCTCTCTCTCAGGATCTAGCACACAGCCTGACATACATTAGGAATTCAGTCTAAGTTTAATGAATGAAACAAAATTCACTTTGACATTTCTGGGTATGTGCTTTGTGTTTAGCATGTTCATACATTTCGAATTCAATTCTTACAGCTGTCCTGTGGGATTGTGAGCTATTAAGTTCCAGTTAAGAGATGAGGAATCAGATTCAAAGGCTTAAGAAATTTGCCTAAGGACATACAGCTGATAAAACTGGAATATGAATTTAGACTCACTGATTAAAGTCCAGATCTCTTTCCACTATAATGCACTGTCTATACGTAACTAATGAAAGAATGATCACTATGCCTAAGGGCATTCAGAAAAAATATTATTGCAGAGGTGTGATTTGAGTTGAGGCTTGGGGGAAGAATAGCTTTTGGAGGAAGACTTGGGGTAGCTTTTGTTTCTCTACAAAGAAAGAGCAACCTACTTTTTTTTTTTTTTTTCTTTTGAGACAGAGTCTAACTCTGTTGCCCAGGCTAGAGTGCCGTGGTGTCAGCCTAGCTCACAGCAACCTCAAACTCCTGGGCTCAAGCAATCCTCCTGCCTCAGCCTCCTGAGTAGCTGGGACTACAGGCATCCACCGCCATGCCAGGCTAATTGTTTCTATATATTTTTAGTTGGCCAATTAATTTCTTTCTATTTTTAGTAGAGACGGGGTCTCGTTCTTGCCCAGGCTGGTTTTGAACTCCTGACCTTGAGTAATCCTCCCGCCTCGGCCTCCCAGCAACCTACTTTTATTATCTGTCTTAAGTTAGCCTAACTCTAGGGTTAGTCTTTTATTTATTTATTTATTATTCATTCATTCATTTACCCACCTACGTATCTACCATTTTCTCCTTTTGTGGTTGTGTCTTGGCTTCCAAGTTGATAGCAGCATTCTATCTCTCCCAAAGACCCTTTTGGTTCCTGCCAGATTGTGACCTTCTCCTCTTATTACTAAGCTATTACTGTATATCATGCTGTCTTAAAACTTAATTGCTTAACACAATAACTACCTATTTAGCTCACAAATCTGGGATTGGTAATGTAGTCTAAGCCCAGTTGAGCAGTTTTTCTGGTCTTGGCTGGTTTCTCTTGTGTGTAGGATCAACTCTAAGTCAGTTATACATTTCTGTGTCAGAGGTTGTCTAGAAATTGTCTGGGGTGCTGGGTGAGACTGCCACATGTCTGTCATGATTCAGCAGGTCAGCCTGGGCTCATTCACATGACATGTATGGTTCTAGGAGAGAGAACAGAATTGTGCAAGTCTTCTTGGGGCATAGGCTTAGAACAAACACACCATCACTTCTGCTGTGTTGAGCTGGCCACAACAAGTCACAAAGACTACTCACATTCAAGGAGTGGGAGAACAGACTCTACCTCTGGATCGGAGGAGGATGTTAACTGTAAAAGCAGTATAAATACCCATAGGAAATAAATGTGACCAATTTTGCAAACAATCTACATACTCTAGGTAGAATTAGTGCTCAATTCTGGGGTAATTTTTCCTAGGAATTGTTCAGATCCTGTCTCTCCAGGGTTTTCTTTATGGAATTTAAAAACATCTTAGGCTTTCTAATTTCACGTTTAAGGCTGGCACTCTGAATTTTCTTTAGAGTTTTGCCTCTATTATTTAGTTGTTTAGATATTTGTAATATCTTTTCTCAATTTCTTATGCATTCAACTTTGGCAGCCTTGCAAATAAACACAAGAATTTTTTTCTAACCCTCATATTAAGGGGAAAAAAGTCTTTCCCCTTAAAGGATTATTGAAAGATTAGGTAGATATGTGTTTACTATTATAGGTGGCTCACAAAGTTACTTTCTTAAAGGTTGTTTAATGATAAACTAGATATTTATTGTCTAAATGTTGAATTTCTCTAATCTTGATTTACTTCTTTGATAACACTTCTGGAATATTCTAAACTTGGTTGTACAGACTGCTTTACCCTCAAGGATTTTCTGTATGACTGAGGTCAGTAAGCCTCTTGGTGTTCACAGTCAATCTCTTTTTGTGTTTGGTACTAGATGACATGACCAGAAGGGAAAGCAGGTAGAGATACAGTTTTATAAATGTATATGGTATATATTTTTTGTGTGTAAAACATTGTATTTTGTGCTTTTTGGAGAATAAAAAAATCAAAAAGATCTCTACCCAAAATTTAGTGGAGGAGACAAAAAATTTGCAAGAATAACTCCTTTAGCATATAATAAATGCTAAAACAAAGAACTGTGGAGCTGTTGAGGAAGATACAGATTTTAAGAGGGAGAATGTGGGAAAACATGGAAGGAAGTGACATTTGAAGAGGTTCTTGAAAATCCCATTGATTTTGATAACTCGTGTCCTCTTTGTCATTTGGTTTGAGGAATCTTTCTATTTCCCTCTTAATTTCCTCCTTGACCCAGTCATCATTCAGCAATAGATTGTTTAATTTCCATGACTTTGTGTAGAGTTGAGTAATTCTGTAGGAGTTGATTTCTAATTTTATTCCTCTGTAGTCTGAGAAGATACACGATATAATTTCTTTTTTTAAAAATTTGTTGAGACATGTTTTGTGGCCTAGTTATGATCAATCTTAGAGGATATTCCACGTGATGATGAGAAGAACATATATTCAGTAGCTTCTGGGTAGAATGTTCTATAAATGTCTGTTAGGCCTGTTTTTTTCTAGAGTTCCATTCAAGTCCAGTGTTTCTTTGTTAATTTTCTGCTTGGAGGATCTATCCAGTTCTGTCAGTGGGGTGTTGAAGTCCCCAGATATTATAATGTTGCTATTTATCACTTTGTTAAATTTAGTAGGGTTTGTTTTATGAATCTGGGCATGCCTGTATTAGGTGCATAAATATTTAGGATTGTTATGTCTTCTTGTTGAATTGCTCCCTTTACCATAATATAATGATCATCTTTGTCTTTCTTTACTATGGTTGCTTTGAAGTCTATTATCTGATATGAGAATGGCTACTTCAGCTTTCTTTTGTTCTTTATTTGCATGGAATATTGTTTTCCATCTCTTCACCTTGAGTCTACACGAGTCCCTGTGGTTTAGATGTGTTTCCTGGAGACAGCAGAATTTGATTTGTATTTTTTTTATCCATTCAGCCAGGCTGTATCTCTTGAGTGGGGAATTCAAGTTGTTCACATTTACTGAAAGAAATTGATAAGTGGGGTGGATTTCTGTTCATCCCATTGAATAGAACCTTATTGCTTTGTTTTACTTCTTGAGCCATTATACTATCTGGGCTCTGAACTTTCGGATGATTTTACACCAGCGGGTGTCTGTTGTGCTGATTGATGTATGATGCAGATCCTAGTACTTCCTCCAGGGTGGGTCTGGTCTTGATAAATTCCCTCAGTGTATGCTTGTTTGTGAAAGTATTTATTTCTCCCTCATATAAGAAACTTAGTTTTGCAAGGTACAAAATTCTAAGCTGAGCATTATTCTGTTTGACAAGACTGAGAATGGGCCTCCAATCCCTTCTGGCTTGTAAGGTCTCCGTTGAGAAATCTGCGGTTAGTCTGATGGGTTTTCCTTTGTAAGTTACCTGATGTTTTCACCTTACAGCTCGTAGGAGTTCCTCCTTTGTGTTAACTTTGGCCAGTCTGATGACTGTGTGTCGTGGTGATTGCCTCTTTGGGATGAATCTCCCAGGAGTCTGTTGAGCTTCTTGTACCTGGATTTCTAAATTTCTAGCAAGACCAGAAAGTTTTCCTCAATTATTCCCTCAAATAGGTTTTCCCAACCCTTGTGTATTTTCTTCTTCACCTTTAGGAATGTCTATGATTTTTATGTTAGGCCTATTTACATAATTCCATATTTCCTGTAGGCTTTATTTGTTCCTCTTATCTCCCTGTTCTTGTCTTTGACTGACTTGTTTGCCAAATGAAGAGTAAATAATCAAGCTCTGTCTCAACATGTAATTTGGAAGTATCCTAACTGACTACGTGTGGGCAGCTATTCAGATGGTAACCAGGCTTGGTCATTTCTGTTTTAAAATGTCTCCTGCATTTATCTCATTCTGTCCATTCCTGCTGTTGCCACCTGATCCAAGCCTTTGTTCGCATCCAGAATTTTTTAATATCAAGTAGTTAAAAAAATTTTTTTTACTACAGCATATTACAGGGGTACAAATGTTGAGGTTACATATATTGCCTTTGCCCCATCCAAGTCAGGACTTCAAGCATGTCCATCCCTCAGACAGTATGCATTGCACCCATTAGGTGTGTATATACCCATCCCCACTTCCCCCCTCCCATCTGCCTGATACCGGTGAATGTTATTATTATATGTGCACTTAAGTGTTGATCAGTTAATACCAATTTGATGGTGAGTACATGTGGTGCTTGTTTTTCCATTCTAGTGATACTTCACTTAGTAGAATGAGCACCAGATCTATCTAGGATAATATAAGAGGTGCTAGATCGCCATTGTTTTTTGTGGTTGAGTAGAACTCCATGGTATACATATACCACATTTTATTAATCCACTCATAGATTGCTGGGAACTTGGATTGTTTTCACATCTTTATAATTGTGAATTGTGCTGCTATAAACATTCTAGTGCAGATGTCTTTTTTATAGAATGTTTTTTGTTCTTCTGGGTATGTGCCCAGTAATGGGATTGCTAGATCAAATGGTAGTTATACTTGTGGCTCTTTGAGGTATCTCTATATTACTTTCCACAGAGGCTGCACTAGTTTGCAGTCCCACCAGCAGT